CCCCCCCCCCCGTCTCATTATCCTTGCGCCGGGGGAGGATTAAAGCGCAACTTTCGCCTGCGTATGTTGAATGCATCCCGTAGAAGCTCGGTTTTATCCCTTATTTTAATCTTCTTATTCGCCGGGGCCGCACTGTTTGCAAACATTCGCCTTTCTCACGCACAAACGCGGAGTACATAAAGTATTACGGCGTCCGTATGTATTCCACTTGAAGAGAAAATCCAGAAAATACAGGGGATTTATTAGAAAAGTAACGCGTCCGTCTTTGTATTTTTTTTTTTTTTTTTTTAGTAAACCGGGGCAGGCGAGAGTTAACTTTGTAAATATATTGCACGTACACCCGAAGTGTTAAAAATTTTTTCGTAACGAGTTAATTTCGCTCAAAGTTAAATGTGCTGATGTCCTTGTTTCACTTTTTTTTTTAAATTGTCCTCTATCTCTTAATCCTCGCCGTTATAATTTGCCGGTCGACGATTCATGCTCTATCTTTTTTTGTCTATGGCCACGTAATGTTTTAAAACTGTCGCCTGGCTCAAGTATTTTTATCTCGTTGGTACTTTTACTTCGTTTCGTCAAATAATGAAATAAATGAAGCTTCCTGCGGGACATTCACACCGCGCAGGGAAAATATTAAAGATCGTTAAATGTTTGCAGAGTATTAAAACTTGACAGGTTCAATGCGTTTCTTTATAAAGTTCGGGCGAAAGAAAATAGCGCAGCAGAAGTAAATGGATGGTTTCTCCTCGAAAGCAATGCCGCTTGACAATGGGCTCGCGTAAATGCGAATTTCATAACTTCTCCTAGAGAAGTAACGAAATAATTTGGAAACATCGCGCGCCATAAATCAAAAGTCACTTTATTATGCAATTTTTCTGTAATAAGTTGCAGAAATGCGAAAATAATGTGCAATACGTTCGAGTCTTCAACAGTCTACGTAGTCGGTTAATCTTCATCCTTCATTGACTTCGCGTTATCTCAAACTAATTATTTGCGGAAAGTATTGCTAGGTTATTTTCTGATAAATACGTAAAAGATTGTGTCTTGTTGATTAAAAAAGTTCCTCGCTTTTACAAAATCGAACATAGTGTCGCGTTATAATCTATTATAATTTACAATTAGGTTGAGTAATTCGACGCAACTGGCTGCAAGAAAATATCCTTTATTGTCGCACAACGTTTCGGCCATGGATTTGGGCCCTTTTCAAGTGGATTTTACAGCATCAAGTCGGCGTATGGCATGTGG